GATCAGGAATGTCCTGCCGTAGCCGACCACACCTTCCCACATCCCAAACTGAGCTTTGAAGAGGCGGTCATGAGTGAGGAGATGCAAGAAGATCTCATGAAAGAAACTGTTTGGCAACTTGCTCTCCAATCCGTGCTAGAAGAAGAAGAGCAAGAAAGGGTGCAGAAAGAAGTTGTGGAGGATGACGAAAGTGAAGCAGGAGGAGTTCTTGATCATTTCCCAGGGGTGATACCACATGTAGAAGAAAGGGAGGTTGAAGAAGAAATTGGCGTCCAGGCTGAGGACGGAGTTAAGGTGGAAGAGGCCTGCACCGGCCATGAGTTACATGTGATATCTCCACCAAACTTAGAGGAGCTGCTTGCAAAGGACCCATTTGCAGTGTCTCTTTGCCAGACCAAGGCCACATCGACATCGGTCCCTCTTGGTGGACGTGATGGTGGTAAATCGATGCTGTCATATCTGGTTTGGGGCAATGAGACGAGAGAAGAGAAGAAGAGGTCTCGAGGGTGGAGACTTCATCTACATCAAGTGCACGAGCCTTCATCACCTGCCACACCACCTGCTTGTGACTTGAGACTCCACCTCATAGATGAGAACCTCAACTTCAAGGAGGTTCTAGCATGGACCGAAACTTAGGAGCCATCGTCCGGCTCACGACGTGAAAGAAGCGCTTGTTGGGAGGCAACCCAACCAGTCGGTTTGCATTTCTTTCTCTATTTATCCTCGGTTGAGTAAGTTTTGTTATTTGATTTTAGATTCAATAACTCAACCTTTGTGAGATTTTGTGTGGTGTTTGTGCTCCGACTACTCTCTCATCCTGGAATGCACTGCCTACCTCGTCCACCGTCATTCACCCTTGATCTGGTAACTTCGTTCTACCCTCCTTATCTTTCCTCCATTGAGGACAATGTCGTGCTTAAGTGTGGGGGGGTGTTCGATTATGTATGCGTGTGAATGTTTGGCTGTTTGTGTGCTTGGAGCCTAGTCCACTGTCCAAATTTCGATTTGAGGGCTCCAAGTACGTGTTCCCATGCAAATTGCCTGCTCAGTATGCTTTGAATTGACAGTCTCTATCGTAATGTGCAACCTAGGGAGGTAGTGTAGCACTATGGAGGATGTTGAAGTATAAGATTTTTCCTATCTAGCTCTCTGCTATGTCAGTTGATTTTGTGAATTAGTGGAGCTAAGACCGTTGAATTCATGTGGTAATGTGGACTCTGTTTGAATTGTGTTATGGACTCGTGTATTGAACAGGGTGCTCATGTGAGAAATGAAAAGCAGTTGGTCCTCCATGTCGAAATCATTGAAATCTTAAACATGGGGTAAGCCCAACGTGTGTGGCACCGTTCATTGCACAAAATCGGGTTTTGGAAGAGATTTTAGTGATCCTTAGTGGGGTACTCCTACAAGGTGAAGCTAAGCTGTCTCTAGTACAAGTAAAATTTTCACCCGTTGAACGGTTTGCCTACTTGAGGATGTGTTTTTAAGGGCACGGATAGAGCTTCCGACCCCGCTTAATTTCATTGACCCTCCACACGAGTTGAGGAAAAGGAGTTAAAAGAAGTACCCTGGCGAGCGCCAGGTGTACAGAAATTGCTCTTGCTCGACTAATAAGGGTCGACCGTGCAAAAGACTACAGTTGGAACCCCTGCTAAGTGAAAAAAAAAACAAGGAAAATGTGAATGAAAGTGCAAAAAGGGGTCCCAACGGTGAAATGAAGTGAAAGAGCACCCCGGTACAACGAGTCCTTGGTTGTGAGTGTTGTGAGTCCCTTTGTCCATGAACTGACTGTCTTACTTATACTTCTTCTCATGATCCTGGCTTGAGTCTAGTACTCGCGTTGAGAGAGATAGGGGACGTCTTAGAAGACCAGTTGACCTCGTAAGCTGCTATATGATCTAGGAAATCCTCTACCGACGATCGGGGTTGTTTGTTGCTATAGAGGTCTGGAGAGCTGCATTGGTTTGAGTTAGGTTTGCTTGGGGACAAGCAAACGGTTAAGTGTGGGGGAATTTGATAACATCGTATTTGCACATGATTGCACCCTCGTTTCTTGATCATTTTGGCTTGAGTTTTTGCTTTCTTGGACTATTTTACGCTAGGTTGTGTTCCTTTATCACATTTCAGGTCCTAGCACATAAAGGGAAGCATAGGCGCAAGTTTCAAGTCAATTAGAGATCAATTGGCGATTAGGGAGAAGAAACTCGGGCATGACCTGAAGAAGAATGGATTTCTACCTCACTTTATGGACAAATAATCATGCAAGCTTGTTATTAAAAGAAAGAAGACGAGACTACGAGCGTCTGGGTTCAAACGGCGACTGATTTGGAGTCCGGACGAGGGAGAAACGAAGCTTTGAACAGGAGCGGAGGAAGAATTACGGGCAGGAGAATTACGACCGTAATTTGGCCTCCCATGCCCGTAATTTCACTGCCGAGAGGAGCTTTGGGTGCGCTGAAACTTAACCAAGACGCGTGTTTTGGTGCGAATTACGGGCAGGACGTGATTACGGCCGTAATTCTGCCCGTAATTCGCCCAGAGTCGGGTTTTTGGAGGCAGATTCGAGCCAAGGAAGAGGAATTCGATTTTCTGGGCAAAAACAGAGTTTTAGAGAGAGAAAGAGCGAAGAACAAACCCTAGGAGCTATTTTGGAGTGGATTTCTCATCATTGAAGCCCAGATTGCATCCCTAGGAGTGAAGATTGACATCCCAGAGCAGATTTTCCTCATCTTTATGAGTATGACTATTCTGATTTCTGTTTTCCTTTCTCTCTCTATGGAGTAGAACCTCTCTCTCACTTGGGTATGAAGAACCCTAGTTCCTTGTGTTAGGGATTTGATTGTAATGACTTGGGATGATGTTACTGTTTGATTTTAATCGAATGATGCATGTTTATTGAATTGATTTGAGTCTGATCAGCTTTTCTCAATTTCTGCTGCTACCTGAGATAGATAGAATCTGATTAGGTTGTTAGAGCCTATTCATTCGATAGTAGGAGATTGGCTATACGAGAGTTAGCCAGTTTACTGCTTTGTACTGGAATTCAATTCCAGTAGTGGAGTTCTGTGTTCATAGCCTCAGCTTTCTATCCTGTTGAAGACTAGTCGTCTGCCGGGTAGTTGGACTGAGAGGGCTTGGTCAGCTTAAGAGATTCCAAGCTAATTTAGGATCTTGCGCAGTTTAATCAACAGTAGATCAACCAAAGGTAATTGCAACTTGGACCTAATTGAGGAGCTAGGGGGAATCATACCTAAGTGAGTTCCCAAACTATAATTAGTAGTTTTACTTAGTTTAGTTAGTAGAGTAGTTTAGTTAATCAATCCTTAATCTAGTTTGCTAGATAATGAACTGAAGCTGAGTAATAGTAACTCTAGAGACCCGTGGATTCGATATTTATTACTTGTGCCACTATACTGCAGTCCCTTTCATTGGTTACACTTGGCCAATGTTAGGTGTTGTGTTTTAGCGTGTCACATATCCCAAACCCATATGGGAAACGAGTACCCATTACCCGTACGGGACGGATAACGGGTACCCATACTACCCATAAATACCCAAAGTTTAAATGACATCACATTACATATCTTTATAATAACATGCTCTTGCGGGGAATAATAAGAACACGATATGATCAAAAACATAAATTCAATCTCTATATACACAAGCATTCATTTCAAAACATGTCCCTAAAACCAGATGACGTTTTAGCTAAAGACAATTACATCCCAAACCCACTACATAAACATGTATTAGCAGGGAAATGACGGTGGGAGCAAAATTTCGGAGGAGGCAGCTATTCTAATACATTCCACAAAGAAAACATGTATTAGCATAGCAAAAGTTCGGAATGGCTGCTGCTGCCATTCTCCCACTGCAGGCTGCTGTCGCCATTCTCCCTTCTGCAGGTTGCTGTCCTTCACCTGCTGCGGTCCGCGGCGGTGAACGAAGGAGGAAGCGGAGGCACGGTCGCGCGGAGGCGGAGCGCTAGGTCTCGCTGAGCCTGAGTCGTTGTCGGCTGTCGCTGACTGAGTCTCTCTGTCTGAGACTGAAATTGAAAGGCAGAAATTGAAAGGCCGAAAGGGAATTGGGCTGGGCTGTGCCGCTCAGTCACTGTGGGCTGAAATTCCATCTGACATTTGAATGGGTATAACGGGTACCCATATTACCCAAACGGGTATTTGCGGGTAACCCGCGGATACCCATATTAGGAATGTACAATTCCAAGTCACATCCGTTTATAATATTACGGGTAATATGGATACCCGTAACCCTTAAAAAACGGAACGGGTACGAGTATACCCAAATACCCGTTTCCCGTTGCCCACCCCTAACCTGTTCTGTGGTGGCCTTTCACGGCGGCCTATTTTTTATCCATGAAGATAACGAATCCAATCGGCACCGGAAGGGTTTGTGCGATTGTAATGTACTAAGTGACAAATTGTGTCTCCTTCATTTTGAAAATTACCCAGAGAATACTTGATGAGGGGTGGGGGCACGAGTCTCCTTCAGCAGCTAATACCTCATCATCGCCCATGCCGACTAGAAAACTGACAGCTTAATTACGTGTTACTAATTTCCAACTGTTAATGTATTAGGGTTACGTAATCACCAACTTAATTACTTAAATACAACGGGCTCTAATTAACCTCCCTCCTTTAGCCACCGTCAGTCCATTTCCATGATTAAGTACAACCTCTAGATCGGCCTCTATAAAAGCTTCCTAGCTCTCTCGTTAATTATTCATCGACGACAGGGCTACCCGTTTACTCCACTGTGTGTCAGCCTCGAGTTCATAATTGCCATTTACGGTAAGAAGTTAATTAATTGCCAAACCCCTCTGTTAATTCTTCTTAGGGTGTAAAAATGTTAATAGTTGCAAGGTTACGTTGATCAACCAACTCATATGTAGTAGATTCGTGCGACGAAAATACAAATAGTGTACGTATTCAATAACAAAAAAATTTCTCCGTTTATGAGCAGGTAACGTTAAATTTTTCCAGAGAAGATGTCGAGCACCACCACCACCACCGATAACGATGGGCGTCCCTCACGAACTGGTACGTTACTGATGCGATGATTGTCAAAAATAAAATTTATTTAATCAGCCTAATCATTTGAATTTACTTACACGGTTACCCTAAAAAAATTAATGTTTGGCGACCTACATTCTGTGAAGGATATATGTCGTCACTAAAAGAATATCACCTCGAGAAGCGAATCGGGCTGCCTATTTTGTGGCACAACAGGCCCTTCGTTATCCTAGAATTTATAGTGTCCTTCACAATTTTTCTTTCCTTGTCTGTTAGTGTGTCTTTTGAGTCAGCACAGGTTACAAGCAGTATGTAAAACCCGGTGCTCTTATCTGTTTCACCAGCGAAGGTGATGCTTGATAAAAAAAAAATACTTCCGCGATGAATTCGTTCTTCGTTGCCAATAGCCGCAATATCCAGCAAAATGTTTTTTTTTGGATTTGAAAAGGATTTGGCGACGAAAGTGGGGCTTTAGCGACGAGTATCTCCGTCGCAGAAAAGCTCTAGTGCTAGAGTAGTTATAGTCAATGAACTGATTCCAAATTAATCCATGCAGGTACGTGGGTGACAGCCTCTGCCCACATAATAACGGCTGTGATCGGGTCGGGAGTGCTCTCGCTGGCCTGGTCCATCGCCCATCTCGGCTGGGTGGTTGGACCGGCCAGCTTGATCGGGTTCTCCCTGATCACGTTGTTCACCTCTTTCCTGCTGGCGGACGCCTACCATCATCCGGATGGCCGACGAAACTACACCTATCTGGACGCCGTGCGGGCCCATTTGGGCGGGCGCAGGGTCCAGCTCTGCGGGCTAGCCCAATACTCCAACCTGGTGGGCGTCACGATCGGCTACACCATCACCGCCTCCATCAGCATGGCGTAAGCTAATCTAATTTATTTACCAATCAACCATACATCAATATTACATTTTATTATAAGTTTGTATGTTATTGATTTATCTATTATGAAAAAATACAGGGCCGTGGGGAGACCATCGGATTGTTCCCACGTGGTTGACGACGAGAAGTGCCACTGGTCGACAACGCTCTACATGGTCGTCTTCGGGAGCGTCCAGCTGGTACTGTGCCAGGTCCCGAACTTCCATAAGCTGACGTGGCTGTCCATCCTCGCCGCCGTGATGTCGGTTGCCTATTCCGTCATCGGACTGGGACTCTCTGTCGCCACAGTGGCTGCAGGTGGTTAATTATCGGTTATATACGGATGAAGTTTAATTAATTAATTAATTAATCGCACATATAATAACTAATTAATGAGTTAAATTGAACAGACGGAGGTGGGACTAGGGAGGCGGCAACGGATTCAGATGCACAGAAAATGTGGAAAATTTTCATAGCAATCGGCGATATTGCCTTTGCTTTTGCCTACTCCACTGTCCTCGTCGAGATCCAGGTCCGTAACTAATTAATTATTCCCCTTTCTTATGCAAAGATGTAACACCCAACTACTTTTCTCTATTTAAACTCATTAAAACATATGCATGTCTTCAACTAATTGCTAAAACCGTTAAACTCTTTGTTCATACAAAATTTTGGGAAAACCCCATCTTAAAATGTCTCATATAAAAACAATGTGGAGAGTTCAATTTGCCGCCCACCTCGCCACCATCAAGCTCGAATTTGCTTCGTCCCATGGCTTTCACCCATTTAGCTATTGATCTGGAAAAATATTGACGGAGTGAGACTTCACTCAATGAGTAAATAATAACCTAATACAAACATCGATACCAAAATAGTAACGAGTGATTTTGTACCCCTAAAGTACTCTCCTATGATCCATGGCTCATTCATATCACTTACCATATTGTAACAAGCAAATTTTATTCCATAACACACACATCCATTCATTTCATCATGCACTCCCATGTCATATCAATATACCAAATACTATAGAAAACTATCACATAACTATATCATCCTTAGCACAAGTCATATATCACATCAGAGGAAGTCATCACATCTCTGAAGTCATCACATAATCTTAGGAAGTCATCACATAATCTCATCATAGGAAATCCTTATACAAGGATTCAATAACATGCACAGTTAGCTTGATTCAATGACTTTTACTTCATTATCTTGCCGAGTCATACACTCTTCCAAGATATAGGAATAAGGATTAACATTGGTTCAAATAAAACATATCACCACGGAACGTATCTCAGCCCCGTGCCATTATACCACTGCGAGACGTACCCAACCCGGTCTCGTTATATCACATACCACCGTGGAACGAATCACCGTCCGGTGTCATGATACCATGTTCTCCCTTTTCCCATATCTTGTGTTGAGTGTACAACAAGGCAATCTTTATGTTTGGTTTAGGTGACAATGCAATAACATTTCCATGTATGCCATTAAGACCAATCCATTTCACTTTTATATACAGATAATATACTTTTAATCATCTCATGCACTTTCTCATTCATAAGCCTTATAGGCCATTTCTATATTCTAATAATACACTTTTGTGCTAGCCAAGGTATCTTGCCTATCATTTCACTTTAACCCCTCAAAGGTCATTTCTTGTTTCATTTACCCGAGATCCAATTTTATATCACATAGGCACACAATACATATACAACACCATGTCACATACCAATATAATCATTCAAGTAATTATGCACCCATTCATGTCATCAACCATTTGAGCAATACTATGATATCACACGGATCAAACAATACTAACTTAACATGTACTCGAGTCACTTCATGACCCGAATACTATATTCGTATTAATATAAGCATTAGGTTAAGATTTACTCATTACTTTTGTTGTTGCACTACGATTACCCTGCCTCGTGAGGATTCGCCAGCTTGCTCCTTTCCTTTATGGAATTTATATACGGATGATTTAGTACCATTAGTAATTTATCACACAAGGAGACCAAGAAATCCAGTACAATTATTCATCAAACCAAAACACATAAATCCCACATAAAATCCTCTAACCTCTTCTTTATTACACAAACTCGTGCTCACATAAATTTAAATGTACCTATTTCTCTCACACGCTGCTCCCTGTTAAAACTAATCAAATTCCCCTTTTTAATTAACCAAATCCCATACTCACTTTTCTCAAATCCACACAAACGGATCCATATATATGTACATGCATTTACTTAAGTTTACACCCCATGATATCACTTCTACACCCACACAGATCAGACTCGGTTCCCATAAACGAGTCATGCAATGAAATCTTAATCTTCCCACCCAAAGGTTGGTGCTTTCTCTCGTAGAACAATAACACTCAACTACTCTAAACATGCACACCAACTTAAACATACAAGCAATTATCTATGTGTGCATACAAGTATATATATATATATCACGGTCATCTTTCCCCTTTTCTCAAAGAGTCCACTAAACAACACAATCATGATTGAGGAAGATTTACCTTGTTTTATTAATTGATCCGTTTCTTATTCCTTCACCTAGCTAGTAGCATTTCCCTCTAAGAAAAGTGATGATATTTGTGAGGATAGGTTGTGGGTGATTACTCTTTGGGTAGCGAAGCAGTTTCACCCTGATCTCCCTCTCTCGTCTTCTAAGAAAGGGATCAGAAATGGGACTCCCATATGGTATAAAGAAGAACCATTTGCTCCTCAATTAATTCCTACCCACTAGCTAGAACACGTGTAAGTCTAACGGCTCATGCATGAGAAATGAGTTGGCTTTTCCTCATGAGGGAGAACTAGTGGAAAACCACAGATGGAGCAAGGGGAATAAGATTCCCTGTCCACCTCCTTCTTCTAGAACCCACCAAAGTTTCTCATAGTCAAAGTGGTTTGGTCAATTACTACTGCTCCTTCTAACTAAACTTCTAATCATGGTTTTCTTTACCAAGCCTTAGGTTAAGTGGTCCAACCCTTAACTTTTAACTTTACTTAACCGAACTCATCCGTGTCGATAATTTAAGTTGACGATTATAACTAATTCATGATTTTAAAACCAATCTAAATATTATAACGTCATAAATGATCACAATATGAGTTATATCGTATATGATGGACGAGGATGTTACAAAGAGCTAGTTAATTAATTAACGAAATAAAACTTTGTTATTTATACGAGTTAATTAATTAACTATATATGAGAGTCAATTAGTTGTAGATGAGAAAGAAATTAAGCATATTTTTTAAATTAAATTAAGAAGATAGATAGCTGAGAGCTGACCGATGAATTAATGGCTACGTACCAACTTTTCCCCCGATTTTATTTTTAAGACATGCATGCATGCGGTGGTGGGCCTGAAAACCCTAACCAATTTAAGATGTACGAAAAAACAAAGCTAATGGGCCGGGCCGGGCCCGCCTTTGTGTTGCATTGCATGCAGGATACCCTAAAATCGAGCCCGCCGGAGGAGAAAGCAATGAAGAGGGCAACCTTCGTCGGTGTCGGAGTTACAACCGTCTTCTACCTGCTGTGCGGCTGTGTCGGATACGCCGCGTTTGGGGATTCCACGCCGGGAAATTTACTCTCCGGATCCGGCTTCCACCACCCAGTGTGGCTAGTTAACGTCGCCAACGTTTGCGTAGCTGTCCACCTCGTCGGCGCCTACCAAGTAGGTCAACCTTCCATACACTATCCTACGTGGCTTCTTTGCAAAATAATTTTATCACCATTATAAAATAAATAAATAAAAACTGTATCCTACGTGGCCGCATGCATGCAGGTCTTTGCGCAGCCGATATTCAGCTTCGTGGAGACCAGCTGTCAGCAAAGGTGGCCGGATCACGCGTTCCTGACAGCGGACCACCCGATCACGGTCACAATTCCGCTCCTGGAGGACGGTCCGACGGCCACGATCTGCCACGTCAACTGGTTCAGGCTGGTTTGGAGGTCGGCCTACGTGGCGGTGACGACAGTGCTGGCCATCGCCTTCCCGTTCTTCAACGTGTTTCTCAGCCTCATCGGGGCAGCCTCGTTCTGGCCACTGACGGTCTACTTCCCGATAGAGATGTACATCGCGCGGGCTAAGGTTCCGAGGTTCTCCTTCAGGTGGACGTGTCTCCAGGCGTTGAGCTTCGGATGTCTCCTAGTCTCACTCGTCGCGGCGGCCGGAGCTGTGGAAGGCCTCGTTCGCTCCCTCAGAACGTACCGGCCGGTAGTTTAGTTATGAATAAACTATAAGGGGTCTTTTGGAAGGGAATGCTCAAATGGAGAAGGGACTCTTTATTCTTTTATGTTTTGCTTATGCTCGTTTTTTTTTTCTCTGCATCTCTTTTTACAACATCCAAGCCTATTTATAGACCTTAGTTACATAAAAATCTGCAGCTCAATAAATTGAGCAGTTGGAACCTACTTCACATTTGTGGTTCTAGTTTTTTTTTTGTTTAATTCATCATTCTCTACAAGCTTCCACAACATACACGTACAACCCACATATACACCAATATTCTAGGGAGTTATGATATTTTGCAGATTTATTATTTAATTAAAATTTATTTATTTCAACACTCCCCCTTAAAGTTTAATTAGTAGTAACTCCGAGTAATGTCCTCATCTTGACGAACACGTCTTGCTTTAGTGGCTTTGTGAAAATATCAGCAATCTGTTCTTCAGTCTTCACATACTTCAACGCCACTTCTTTATGCTCCACACATTCTCTTAAGAAATGATATCTTGTATCAATATGCTTATTGCGATCATGGAATACTGGATTCTTTGCTAGCGTCAGGGCATATTTGTTATCCACATAAATCTCAATTGACTCTTCCTGTGTCATGTTCAATTCTTTCAACAACTTTCTCAGCCATATTGCATGACACGCACATGATGTCGCAGAAACATACTCAACTTCACAAGTAGATAGTGTCACGATAGCTTGCTTCTTTGACTCCAAGTGAAAGTTGTATCTCCCAAGAAAAATACGAATCATGTACTGCTCTTGCGATCATCCACGTCTCCTGCCCAATCACTATCGCAGTATCCAACCAAATTGAAATTTTCCGACTTAGTATAAAGTAGACCACGATCGATTGTAGCTTTGATATAGCGCAATATCCTCTTGGCAGCATTCCAATGTGACATTGTTGGTGCATCCATGTATCTGCTGACTAAACCAACTGCGTAGAGAATATCTGGTCTAGTACAAGTCAGATATCTCAAGCTTCCCACGAGACTTCTAAACTCCATTGAGTTGACCTTCTCTCCTTTGTCATCCTTGGATAATTTCAGTCCACACTCTGCTGGTGTGCTCACGGGATTACAGTTCTCCATCTTAAACTTCTTCAGGACCTCCTTTGTGAAGCCACTATCTTAGATAAAAATTTCTTCCTCCTTTTGAGTTACTTCAATACCGAGATAATATGACATCAGTCCGATGTCTGTCATCTCAAACTCACGAAACATCGTCTTCTTGAACTCTTCAAACATTCGAGGATCATTGCCTGTGAAGATGAGATCATCTACGTACAGGCAAACTATCAGGATTGCTCCCCCTTGCACCTTGCAGTATAGTGCATACTCATGCAGATATTTGCTGAATCCATTCTGCTGAAAATACTTGTCAATCTTGCTATTCCAAGCTCTCGGTGCTTGTTTCAGACCATACAGTGCTTTCTTCAGCTTTAGCACCTTATCTTCTTGTCCTTCAACGATATATCCAGGGGGTTGCTCAATATAGATATCTTCTTCGAGATATCCATTCAGAAAAGCTGACTTCACATCCATCTGATGTATCTTCCATCCATTTTGAGCAGCGAGAGATATCACCATCCTAATAGTCTCCATTCTCGCCACGGGAGCAAAAATTTCATTATAGTCAACGTCTGGTCTTTGACTATATCCTTTAGCCACCAATCTTGCTTTGTTCCTGACAACTTCTCCTTTTGCATTTTTCTTTGCCTTGAACACCCACTTGACACCAATTGGCTTCTGGTTCTCAGGAAGTGACACAGGCTCCCAAGTCTTGTTCTTCTCAATTGCTCTAATTTCTTCATCCATGGCTCTTATCCATTTTTCATCCTTCATGGTTTCTTCAGCATCCACTGGTTCACTATCAATGAAATGACAATATAGAGTCAATTCATCACCTTTAATGGTTGTAGTTTCCTCATATAGATCTTCAAAACGTTTGTACTTTTGTGGACTCCCTTTCGGACTTTCACTTGAACTTCCTTCTGGGCTGGCAGGCTCTCTGTGACTGGGTGGACTCGTCACAGGTGTAGTTGCACCTGGTTCATCATCACTTTCATCCATAGTGAATGGATAAAAAGTGTAATTCTTCTTTGCTTCAGCAGTCCAATTCCATGTTGCTTCTTCATCAGCTACTACGTCTCTATTGATGATCAACTTCTCTTCCACGGGATCAAACATCTTGTAACCTTTTGAGTGTTCTGAGTATCTCAGGAATATGTATTTCTTGCTTTTGTCATCCAAATTATTCCTTTCTTGATCCGGTACGTGCACATATCCGACACTTTCGAAGACTCGGAGGTGAGAGACAGTGGGTTTCCTTCCGCTCCATGCTTCTTGAGGTTTTTGATTCCAAACACTCTTTGTTGGGACCTGTTCAGCAGGTAGACTGCACAATCAACAGCTTCATCCCATAGCTCTTTTGGTAGTTTCTTGCTCTTCAGCATGCTTCTCACCATGTTGAGGACAGTTCTGTTCTTCCTCTCAACAACTCCATTCTGTTGTGGGGATCTTGGGACTGAGAGAAACCTGCGAATTCCTTGATATTCACAGAACCTCCTGAACATCTTTAGCATAAATTCTCCACCTCTATCTAATCTCATGGCTTTGATGTAGCATCCACTTTAATTCTCCACGATCATCTTGAACTTCTTGAAAGCTTCAAATGTGTCTGACTTCTGCTTCAAGAACTAAACCCATGTCTTTCTACTGTAGTCGTCAATGAACAGTAGGAAGTATTTTTTATTGCAAATGATGTTGGAGTGATCGGTCCACAGAGATCTGCATGGACACGCTCAAGCGTTGCTTTAGCTTTTGATAGGGACTCCTTCGGGAAACTTGCCCTGAATTGCTTTCCAACTAAGCATCCTTCACACAACTGGTCTGGATGATCGATCACTGGCAGACCATGAACCATCTTCTTCCGACCGAGTAACTTCAGGCCTCAAAAATTTAGATGGCCATACCTCATATGTCATAGTCATGTATTGTCCTTCACACACGCTTTCAAGCACTTCGCCATTTCTGTCTGAATGTTCAGGGTGAACATTCTGTTTCTCGACATTAGGACTCTGCCCTCTGGCCAACAACTGCCTCTTCTCATTTAGCAGCTCCAATTGACGATTCACCATATGGACTTCATAATTCATCTCCATAAATTGACCCAAACTCAGGATGTTACTTGTCATGTTTGGGACATAGTACACATCATTTATAGATTGCTGTGAGCCATTCTTCAACCGAATGAGTATAGTTCCTCTCCCTTTGATAGGAACCTCCGAGGAGTCTCCAAATACGACATTTTCTTTCACCGATTCATCCATATCCACGAACATATTTCTTTTACCACACATGTGGTTGCTTGCTGCATTATCCAGATACCACATATTGTCTCTCAGTTTTTCATCTCCTTGATGTGACAGCAGCAATGTGCCTTTGACTTCTTCTTCTTGCACGTTGTTTGCTGTCTCCTCCACTTCTTTAGGCGGACTCCAACATTCCAATGCATAATGCCCGTATTTCGAGCAATTATAGCATTGGATGCTGGGTTTATCACGACCTTCATTTGATCTCCAATTTCCTCTTCCACGTCCACGACCTTTGTCTCTGGTGGACGTTTCATAGTTCGTGGTGAAATTTCCTCCATCTCTGCTTTGATATGCTCCTCGGGCTCTTCCTCTGCCTCTGTAGTTTCCTCTGCCTCGACCTCTGTACTGAACTCCTCCTCGGGCACCTTCTTTCTCCTCAGTGGTAGCTTTTGTAGCTAACACTTGTTCTGACGATTCTTCATTTCTTTTATTTAGTCTTTCTTCACGTACTTGCAATGAACCGATAATTTCGTCCACTGTCATCTTTGACACGTCTTTTGCTTCCTCCATGGCCACCACTACATAATCGAACTTCGGTAATAATGACCGTAGAATTTTCTCCACCACTTTGGTCTCTTCAATTTTCTCCCCATACTGCTTCAGTTTACTAGCGATAGACTTCACACGGGCGGTGTAATCTGAAACAGATTCACCTTCTTTCATCTTCATTGCTTCAAAATCTCCTCTGAGTGTCTGAAGTCGAACTTTCTTCACTGGTTCCACGCCTTGCATTTCTTTAAGAAAAATTTCCCATGCTTCCTTCGCCATGGTAGCATCTGCTACTTGGACGACATGGATTCATCAAGACATTGATGAATAAGAGTGAGTGCTTTTTGATCACTCTTTCTATTCTTTCTCAATACCTCCTTTTCAGCAGGAGATAACCGAGAATCCTCCGCGTGAATCTCGTAACCTTTCTCAACAATATCCCAAGCATCTTGGGATCCCAGCAAGGATCTCATACGGATACACCAATATTTGTAATTGGTTTTGGTAATGTGGGGAAATTGAATGGGAAAAGTGGATTTTTCAGCCATGGGACAATCGTGATAACCACAACACGAGAAATTCTTTTATGATGTGGAAGTTCAGACTACGCTGCAACCACAAAGCATACTCAGAAATAACTCGGGCTTTGATACCACTTTGTTGGAAATAAAATAAATATTTCCTAAATTCCTTTTGGTGAGCTCGTTTGGCAGGGGAAGCTTTGTAGGTTTTTTTTTTTTTATTGAAATGAGTTTTACTTTGATGGAAGGAATGGATTTGATTGGCATAGGGAAAATAGAGAGGTGTGTAGGCGGCATAAAGCTCAAATGGAGAAGGGACTTTTTATTCTTTTATGTTTTGCTTCTACTCTTTTTTTTTTTCCTCTCTGCATCTCTTCGTACAACATCCAAGCCTATTTATAGGCCTTAGTTACATTAGTCTTTTTTTTTTTCTCTGCATCTCTTCGTACAACATCCAAGCCTATTTATAGGCCTTAGTTTCATAAAAATTGCAGTTCAATAAATTGAGCAGTTGGAACCTACTTCACATTTGTGGTTCTGGTTTTTTCTTTTGTTTAATTCATCATTCTCTATAAGCT